TTCCTATTTTATGGTGCGTTGCGGTCTGTTTGGTTGATATATAAACCCAGTATGTCTGAAATAAATGATTCACATAGTGGACGCTCTTATTGGTATTCCAGAATCAGCTGAACGGGCTAGGCGAGCAACGGACCAATAGGACGTTAGGCCTACCAGACCGGACGAACATCATTGGTTTAGTACAGCACAAGAGTGAATAAGTCGTATTTTGATTGGCAAATAAGTTACGTGATAACAAGCCAAACTTAAGGTCACAACACTCACCACTTATTGTTTTCCGAACTTTGGCATCATCTTCAGACTACAGTATCGACGACCAAAGTGGTCTTGGTAATTCTTTGACGTGGAGGACGACAGATAAGAGACCGAAGATGATACACTTTCTACCAGCTTCTTTTCAGATAACATCCAGTTTGCCATCACACTCTGTTTCCGGTCACAGAGGAAGTTTCCTACGCTCACTCGAATCGCAACTATTATTGCAAATCTCGAGAGCTTTCACATGAGCCCTTAGTGAGACACCTTATTAAATGCTCTGCAGAAATCCATGCGTATCACATCAACAGACAAACTGCTATCTTCGGCTGCTCTTCAGTCCTGTCGAGAAATCAGTAAGTCTATTTCGAAACCCCTGTAGTTCAAAAGGTGACAGATAATTTTATGTAGCGTCACTTAGTGATTTGGCCCGGGTTACACCTTAACTACTGGGACAGCTAGATTAATAGGCTGGTGGTTAAATGAAACTTGTCACTTTCCATACTTATGTACAGCGCAAACTAAAGCACGATTACACTCACCATTCAGACTCATGTTTCCAATTTTATGCTGGATTAGCTATCCTACTAAGGCAACCTATAACATGCTAACGCGGACTTTTACATTAGGACTGTTGGCAGGCATCGGATGAGAAGGAAAAGAAAGTCAGACAATAAAAGACATGGTTATTGGTTTACTTAACACTACTCTCTATTGCATTCTCTGTTCTAGTAAACAGCGTTTCTTATTCCAACCCTGACTTCCCATCCCTCATTTGAACTTACTGCACTTTGGTAGATATCACATCTCATTGTTCTTTATTACTACATTCTGTCATCGGGACCCTCTGACTTCATTTCACTCTAACAAGAGTTAATATGAATTTATTCTAATAATTTATCATACCTCTGTCTGTTCGACTACAAAATGTGAAGTATTGTTTGTCGTTCATATCCAAGTGCCTCGCTGCTTCTGTCCTTTATTTTCAGAATCTTGCTCTGAGGGCAGAGCTATGAAACTTCTGACATTTGAAACAAACTAGACCCTATCCAATTGACGATTTTTCCATGCTCAGACCGGCTATCAGGTGTTTACTCACCTGCCTCTTTAGTCGCCCTCAAGTAAAAAGTAAAGAAGAATCTACTTCAAAGGTAATGGTGAAAACCAATCACACCTGAAGAACTGCTCCACTGCCTGCATAAAAATAATAAGATACAAAATGGAAATACAAAAATATAATTTATAATTGTTCGGTTCCACGTAAGTGATTGGCCTCCAGAACGGATTGGTATTCTGGAAGAAAATAGACATAGTGTAGCCATCTTATGTACGAAAAGGTATGAAAACAACAAAAAAATACTTTTTTATAATGCATATATGTAAAAGTGTAAACTTGCTAGAAGTTGGACTCATTGTCAAACCCGATAAAATGTATGACCTTGGGCCTTTGACGACCGCCTTTTATAACCAGGTACGTAACCAAGGGTGCATAGTTGTACTCCACAAAACGGAAAAGAATATACGGTTAAGGAGGAGAAAAAATTGTGTAGATTATGAGGATTAAGTACAATTGTGTCAAATACTCTTTTCTGGTTTGATCTAAGTATGTATGATATATTGAAACAATATTTCGTCAATTCATCCAAGTAACGAATTTGTCTGCACCTTAGAAATGTGTAAGTCCTATTACTCATTAGTATTATATACGATTAATCGGTAAAAGGAAAGATTGCAGTCATTCGCCCGTGGTTTGATGTGGTCTAATGGCTAGGACCACGGTCTAGCCTCCAGGAGGGCAGAGGTTCGAGTGCGTGTGGGGCTAGCGTTTTCGTTCACCAAAACCCCCTTCAATACGATGTTTGTTGGCCATATGTTGCTCAGATATGAGAGAAAGATAACAGGAGGACGGATTGATATGTCAAAGTGCCATATTGGAATAGTACAAGTTCTTTGTTTTTATTAATAATAATGCTATAAAAAAAACTACAAGTGTGGTAGATTTCCATTTTACGTTATGATTAAACCAACGAGAGAAAAAAAGGTATATATATATAAGTTATTGACATAACATGTTTTTTTATAACGCTAGTGTTAAGTTCCAGGATTTTGTATGGACCACTAATAATAATTGGTTTAACGTTAGCATAGCTGTGATATTCATATTAGTTCAATGCTGTGATTACTTAACAGTTCCCTTATAAGTTGTGTTTAAAATTAGGTATGTGGAATCAATGCGGCTAACATAGTAACCTTACAGTAACGCACTGTACTATATCTTCACGGTTATTGATTCTTAAATGTCAGAAATTAAAAAAAATTTTGAATATTTCCAATAATGATGGGTTATATGATCACACTAAAAAGCATGCTGTAGGAAAACTGGTTAAGTCATTATGTAAGTTTCCTAAACATGAAAAAAAATGATGAGAACTTTATTAAGTATTTGACCATAGTTTAATCCAAAATGTTTTGTCTAGAAAACCACTTATTAATAGTAGTATTAAGCGTATCAAGCTACTAAACACATCTTCGACCGAAAACTTTTAGAAGTAGTTCATATGGTATATATGTATAGCCAGTCTACGTGAAAAATGTATATAAATATATAAGAAGTACAGCCAACATAGTTAATTAACCAGAAAAAGAAATGGTTACCCAGTTCTGCATGAAAACTTTGGCTACTGTTTCCGCTGTGATGTCCGCTATCGGGATGGCTATAGGGAATCTGGTAAATCGATCTATGCATGTAAAAAGATAATTAAAACCGTTTGAACGAGGTAAAGGACCTACCAAGTCGATATGCACATGGGCAAAACGTGCATCTGGTTGCGAGAAAACACCTATGGGTGAATTTGTGTGACGATTAATCTTTGATTGTTGACATGCTGAACACTCTCTAACCCATTTGTGTACATCCTTCTGTAAATTCGGCCATATATATCTGGCATTGATTAGTTTTGTTGAAGCTTTCGCGCCAGGATGAGACAAAGAATGAAAGTTATTATATATCAACTTTCGCATATTTTTGGGAACGAAAGGTCACGGCATTGCCTTGGTCGTGTCACAATAAATTAGAATACCATCGATAGGTGATGGGAATTGTTTTAAACTAAGACTTGAATTGTTTGTTTTAAGTAGGTTTTGCAATTCTAGGTCCTGCTCTTGTTCGTGTCTTAACGTCTCGAAGTTTACTGTAGACTGCTGTAGCACGTTCATTTCTAGTCTGCATAAAGCATCTGCCGCCTGATTGTCCTGACCTTTGACATGTCGGATATCGCTTGTGAACTGTGATATATAGTCAAGGTGTCGGACTTCTCGAGGTGAGTATTTATCGGCTCTCGCTTTTAATGCATTCGTCAGTGGTTTATGATCCGTAAAGACTATAAATTCCCTACCTTCTAACATGTGTCGGAAGTGTTTAATGGTCAGGTAGATTGCAAGAAGTTCTCGCCCGAAGGTAGAATACCTTGTTTCGGCTGGAGCGAGTCTTTTCGAGAAAAAAGCAATTGGTTTCCAGGCGTTTTAAACCAGTTGGTTAAGGGTACCGCCTACTGCTTTATCTGAAGCATCCACCATCAAAGCAAGTGGGGAAAGAGAATTCGGATATATCAACGTAGTTGCTGCAGCCAGTTTATCTTTAAGCTGTTTAATAGCTTCGATGGCGTCAGAAGACAGTTTGAATTCTTTTGGTTTTCCTTTAAGTGAATCTGTCAAAGGTTGCATTAATTGTGCACAACCTGGTATGAATCTGCGATAAAAGTTAATTAGGCCTAGAAAACTTCTCAGTTGTGTTAGAGAACTAGGTACGGGGTATTGTTTGATAGTATCCACTTCTTTTTTTATAGGTTTAATCCCTTCTGGGCTTATTGTGTGACCGAGAAATTCTAAAGTTTGAACACCGAAAACACACTTACTTTGATGTATGTTTATTCCATATTCATCCAGTCTTTTCAACACTGCTTGTACATGCTGTTCGTGTGATTGCAAATCGGGGCTGGCAATTAACAAGTCGTCTATATACCCCTGCGCAAATGGCATATCTCGAAGTAGGTTATCTATGAATCTTTGAAATGTCTGTGCCGCATTTCTCAGGCCGAATGGCATGCGTACAAACTCGAATAAGCCAAAGGGTGTAGTAATAGCTGTCTCGGGAATATCTTCATTAGCCACCGGGATATTGTGATATGCCCTGACTAAGTCAATTTTAGTGAATATGTTCATACCCTGTAAACCGTTGGTGAAATCTTGGATATGAGGTATTGGGTACCTATCTGGTACGGTTTGACGGTTTAGGGCTCTGTAATCCCCGCACGGTCGCCAATCACCTTCATTCTTCTTTGGAACCATATGCAAGGGGGATGCCCATTGACTATCAGAGGGACGGATGATACCCAGTTGTAGCATATAATCAAACTCGGCCCTAGCGATTTTGAGCTTATCTGGTGCTAGTCTCCTGGGTTTTGCAAACACCGGTGCACCTTCGGTTTTGATAGTGTGACTCACTTTTAGTTTGTCTTTAGAAGGCTGTGGGTTTGGTTTAGTTAAGTTTGGAAATTCCGCGAGTATATCTTGGAATTTGGCTGTTGTTACTGGGGGAGTTTGAATCAAGTTAAGAGAGTTGATGTGACTTTCTTTGCCTTTTGTGTAATACGAAGTTTCTTTTAGTGTTAATCGCCGTTTCTTGGTGTCAACTAGAAATTCGTATCTCTCTAGAAAGTCCATCCCCAGTATTGCCAGATCTAGGTCGGCTACCGTGAAAACCCAAGGGAATTGCCTCCTGAACCCCAAATCTAGGGTTGAAGTTTTCTGCCCAAATGTCGCAATTTTAGTTTTATTTGCAGCTTGAAGTGTAATCGATGATGTTTCTCGACTAATCTCAGTTTTATTTCGAGGGATGATTCTAAGAGCAGCGCCAGTACCCACCAAGAAATTCAAGCCCGAGTTTCTGTCTCTAACATCAAACAAGCGACTGTTTAGGCGCCCCTCCTCAGTCGTCGCGACCTGGGAAGGGGTTACTCGTTTCCCGCTGTCTTAGAATTATGCTTAGGCCAGGCGCATGGTTGCATGCACTTGGTTGAGTTGACACCAAACTTCCAGTGGTACCAACAAAACTGCCCAGATTGTCTGGACATTTGTGACCTGTTTTGTGACTTGGATCGTGGTCGTTGTGGTGACCTGCTCCTGTTTCTATGACCCATTTGCATTCTGGTGACAGCCTCAGTGAGACTCTTAACACTCGCAATGAGTCCTTCTATTACGGGGTCTTTTGATTCTACTTTTTGTGTGTGATTTATTGTGCCTGATCCAGTTGGAGGACCTCTTTCCATTATTCTGCCGGCTATACGCGCTAAATGAGATAATGAGGTTTCAGGATCCTGTGCATCCAAACAGTGTTGGACGTAGCATGGGAGAGCTTGTATCCATCCTTGTTTTAGGACTGCTTCACCCACTGTGTTATCACCCACTAAGACTAGGAGGTGACGTAAAAACTGTGACGGCGACCGATCACCTAGTGTTTCACCTTGAAAAAGTCTTTGGATTCTTTGACTATCTGATAATGATAAACGGTTCATTATCTCTCGTCTTAAGATGGTGTATGGTTGTGGTGATGGTGGACTTAAAATCAAGTCACGGACTTCTTTGGCGACTGAAGGAGGAAGGATAGAACACAAGTCTCTATAGCGAATCCCTTCAGATTTGATATTGTGTCTCGTGAAATAATGCTCTAGTTGAGCAAACCACAACTCAGGATCACTACGATCAAATTCTGGAAGTCGGGATTTCGTAGTCATAACAGTGTCTATCTCCACTGGTGACAAATCCTCCAGATTATGGGTTTCCATTGAGTCTGACATGAGGTATGTGACAAATATAGCAATAAAGTTAGCACAAAAAGTGGTTACTATAACACGAATAACTTAAGATAATACGGAATAAACTAGTTATATACTCAAATTAGTTTACGGATAATCAGGTCTACTTTTACGATTAAGTAAAAAAAATGTTAATAACAGAAATGAGGTTAAATTTGTGTTCAAAAAGGGCTCACCAGTTTCGTGCCTTAAGGTAACCCTCGTGCTATTGATAGAAGAAACCAGAGAAGCAGTGAATAGGTCTTTATTTCGATCTTCGCGCAGTCACAGTGGAGCGTGGGATTATCTGTTCAGACAAACAAAGGCTCTCAACATTCAAGATAATAGGGAATATAACGCTTATGAAAAATAAGGAATTGAATGAATACTTGAACAATACTGTTTTGGCATAAGCTTGGTTGTTTGGGGTCAACTCTTAACCAACCAACCTGAGCTGTTACAGTTCCACAAGTCATTTCCCAGCTTTTAAAATTTTTTCGGCTAACATTTTTTATGTTATTACATTTCTCATCAACCTAAATGTTAACCTGGCCTGTACTTGCGTTCCATTATATCATTCTTATTCTATGCCAATTTTATAATTATTTGAACCACTCTTAACATAACCCACCAAACCCATCATGGTCGTTATTGCTACATATTTTTCGGTTTAGGGATTGAACTTTCACATTAGTTGCATGAAAAGAGGTTTGATATGGCTAAGATAATAAAGTCTCCACAGTAAGATATTATCGTGCTCAAATGATATAACAACTTAACTATCATGCAGTTATTGGTCAAGTAAGCGTTAGAAATAAAGACTTTGTAGCCTATTACTAAAGTTAACACGGCGAACAAATATTTCCTAATCGCAATTCGCAATACAATCAGGCAGCTTGGATCCAATAATGATACATAGTTCTGCTATTTCCGAATTACTTAAAACAGCAAAACCTACTTCCTACTAGCCAACACTAATCAACACTATAGATAGTTATTCTTAATGGTTTCTAAATGCCATGACTTGAAAATAACGTAATATGATCGATAAAACTGATGAAACTATTAACACCAATTCGGTTGATAATCTGACTTATGGTTATCATTAGTGTTGTTTGATCGTGGTTATCCTTATCAATTACGATGATCTCGGTGTGTTTCTCTATCATTCGCTCATTCAACAAACATCTTAGGACCTCTTCAGTCTACTTGGGGGTTTAGCGTCTTGTTGCTGATTGTCACAATAGGATGAGTCAGTGTGGACAGTGATGTGACTTCCACGTAAGACCTTGCAGATTAGATAGCGGCATCATGAAAAATCTACAATTTTGGAATTCGGTTTATTATTATAGTAGTGAGGATAAGTGTGCGAATAATGAAGGAGACCACCATTCCCAAAAGTCACTTGCGGCCTCGAGCACCGTTTCACTTATAAGCACTGTAAAACTTTTGACTGAACAATCGCTTTCAAAAAACAAAGTTCAGATCCAGAGAAGCCGTCTTCCAACTAGATGATGCAACATCACCATAACTAACCGTAGACAGGAAACTCAAGAAAGCAGTTTTTATTTGATTGTAGAACAAAAGCCGACAAACTGTGATCAAGTTGATCCCTCAGTAAAATAATTTGGAGAAATATTTGGCGGTTACTTACGCATGTGCACCAAAAAACAAGACAGTGTAGTGGCATTGGACCATAACCACACAATCTTCAAAGCTGAACACAAGACTACTCAGAAAATAGATATTCAATATTTAACACGGAGAAATATCTAACAATGGAGAAGGCGCGGAGAATGAATTGAATGAATTAGAGTTGATCGAACGGCATGGCTCGTCCATGCAGGCGTGGTCCATCTCAATGTTACTTTATATCTTCTATTCATATTAAATATATTGTTCTTTCTCTAGCTTAACCTTGTTCTACATCATGTATTGGCAATTGATACGACACAGTGAGTTGGTGTAGTCGATGGTGTGACTTCCAAGTAAGATCTTATAGATTAGGCAGTTATATCCTGACAAATCTACAAATTTAGGATTAGGTCTATTATTAGAGCAGTACTAATATCATAGTAGACCATAATTCTACATTGGTGAGCCCAACTAAAGAAACGCAACCTATTATTGTTAATCCTTATTTCCACCCTAACCTTCTCAATCGGTTTTTATTTTTGTAAACGCAGTATTCTAATAGTCCTTTAATTAATGGTCACATATATTATCGTAATGTTATATCTATTAGTTCACATAACTTACTAGCTCAATCGATAATGAAAGTTGATCATCTATATCAACTAATTAGCTTTGATGGTTCGTTAACAAGCTTTAATAGCATTTACCTGCTTCAGCGACATAGACTTGTTTAAACATCAAGCTCTAGCAAATATGACCTGTAGATAATGTAAATATACATTGACTAACAACGCAATCAAGGATTGATTAGTTCATCTGGATCTAATTCTCAGTGTTCCTTCGCTTAACACCTCATCCTGTTTTAGACTATGCACTATCCTGTAATATCTTTTCCTCCGACCACTACCTGCCTAATTTCATATTCTCGAGTTCCATTGCCAAACAACAAGGATGACACATCTCCAAAAAATACGTTCATTTTAGATGGCTCATTCAATGGCACACATAATTATCTGGGTTCATTCGATTGTTCTGATCCGAGCGAGTGGCAAAAACCTCAACAGCATCAAGCACCCTGGAATTAATTGCCATACTGCATGTTTTATTCTGGATGCTTTTGGATCAATACTACTCACGAATGGCGTTACATATGTCGTCCACTGAATAATCTAATTTTCAAAAATAATCCAGGCGAGTTCAACTATTTTACTGGATGATTTGTTTTGTACTTAACATGTATATATTTTCCAGTTGCTTTTGCTACATATTTGTAAGTGTCCCTAGGCTAAATCCAGTAACTTCTTATGGAATAGTTATAACGCGTCATATTCCTGCCTAAAGTTTCATAAGCAGTCTGGTCGTGTTCATTATTTTTAAATTGTCATATACGTCAACAACCTGCATGTTAACCTGTCCCGTACATGCGTTGCACTGTATCTTCATGTCTTCCAAATTTAGAAATCATCTGAATCGCCTTCAACATTTATCAATAAACCCATCGTAGCTGTTCTTGCTAATCGTATTTGGGTTTATGGATTGGTTTATCATATTAGCAGCCTAAAATGCGAACATAGTTTAGATAATAAGATTAAAAATTTAGGTACTATCAACTGCAGTAGTAAAATAACTAAATCCCCAGGTAGCGGTTGGCTAATCAAACGTTTAAAATCAAAACTCCGTAGCCTACTAGAATTAACACTAAACGAATATTTCTGAATTGAAATTTATAATTAAATTAGGCGTCTCGGATTCTTTAACGTTATAAATTTCTGATGATTTCGAATCACCTAAAGCAAAGCAACAATACCTATTTTTCCACTGACTAATCCTCATTCAACACTATAACTAGTTAAACATAATAGTTTCAGGATATCGTCATAAAGCATTGTCATAACTTGACAATCACGTAATATGACTGATAAAATTAATGAAACTATTAACGAAATCGGTCAACAAATTGACTTATAATTACAATTAAATGGTGTTGTTTTCTTGGTATCTTCATCCATCACAGATGATTACAGTATGTTTCTCTATCAGTTGCTCATTCAGTAAATATCTCAAAACCTTGTCAGTCTAATTGGAGGATTAGCGACACAATCATGCATGCAAAAAAATCAGTATAAGCAGTCGAGCAAATCTCCTGCAAACTGAAAACATCAATATCGAATTTACCCCAACATTGACTAAGGTTCAAGCCATTATCATAGACATGAGTTGGGAGTGTACTCCCCTTGGTTACATCTTATGTTCTCCCTGTTAATCACATGAGCATCACTCACTATTAATCATCTTGTAAAAGCTTATTTAGCTAAATACATCTTACAGCACCACATCACTTCGTAATATGACCCATAGGCTTAACTGATTTTAATAACTTATAACCACTATATCTCAATTAAATCGTATTCCGCCGTATGATGAACTGCATACTTGCAACTGACTTGTATGCCCAATCAGCCGGCAAGTATAAATATAAATAAATAGTCTGCCACAGATCTAAACATTGAGTCTAGAGCATGTCTCTTACGAACACACTCATGTTAAACGATTTTTCCTAGCTATCTGTCCAAAATTCATATAATCATCACTCACGTATTTAAATTTTGTTTTGATGAACATTCATGTGTATTAGTAGTATTACTAAATTCTATCACGGTCAAGAAAAAATGAGGTTGAGAAAATCTCCCCGTAACTAAATAAACCGTATCAAACTAACTGGAACACTAGTTGGAATTCTTCTCCACGGTATACTTTTGTTCCTTCAGTTAGCCTACTAATACAGATGCAATTGGAATTCAACTCATATGGGCAACTTACCGGCATAATTGTTATTTGATTTCATAATCTAAACCAAAACTAATACCAATATTAACATTTCTACAATATTCATTACTTTAATATTTCTAAACACAAAATATTTACTACCTATACGTTAAGTTATTAACCAACGCCTATTAGCACGCATTGTTTTATTATTATTATTGTAATCCCGTTTTTTCTAGCTCAAATAATCTTTGCCGAAATTTTCAGTTCAAGCATGTTAAGCATGAAGGCAGATATTTTAAAATTATTACATGTATTTCCCGACCAGATGCTGCCGCTTTCTTTTTGATTTATCTTTCAGCTTACCAATACCCGGAGGATTCTTATTATCCTTAGTAACCTCCGGCGCGCGACGATCCCATCCAATTTGGTATCGTACCAACATCACGTTGATTCTGGTGGGAGAGTAGTGTAGTGGCATTGGACAATAACCGCACAATCCACAAAGCTGAACACGAGACTACTCAGGAAATAGATATTCAATATTTAACGCGGATAAATACCTAACAATGGAGAAGGCGCGAAGAATGAATTGAATGGACTGAGTTGATCGAGTGGCATGGCTCAGCCATGCAGGCGTGGTCCCTGCTGGATGTTATCTTATATCTCCTATTCATATTAAATATATTGTTCTTTCTCTAGCTTAACCTTGTTCTACATCATGTATTGGTAATTGATACGATACAGTGAGTTGGTGTAGTCGATGGTGTGACTTCCAAGTAAGATCTTATAGATTAGGCAGTTATATCCTGACAAATCTACAAATTTAGGATTAGGTCTATTATTAGAGCAGTACTAATATCATAGTAGACCATAATTCTACAACAGCATGCACCTTGTGGTGGACCAGACGATATATAAACGCAAAAAGTGTCAACAAAGTTAATGAAGATCAATAATAATATTAATATATACCAGTTAAATGTTACAATTACAATAAAAAAGGTGGGACTTTACTTAAGTTCACCAAAATGATGCGTGTTCAGCTTTAGTCTGGTACAATAAATCCACAATTATAAATGCTTGGTAATTCCAAACGTGTCGATGAACTCTCCAGTGATATAATCCAACGTAGGATGTGATATATTCCAATTACAGTCTATAAATGTAGACGAAATTTGATTTAGACTTCAGTTAACTCAATCACAAACGAAGATAGAACGAGGAATGTGTGAGTAGTAGTGTATTTGTTAACCAGCAACAGTATGTCACGCTATGTTAGTTTTACAACGGAAAAGTGTTCAAGGTCATTTACTAAAACAACAGGTACAATCATTTCATGATAAATATACATACAATGAGAGGTTGACAAGATAAATACAAATAATACTAAAAACTATTTACAAAATAAGCTTGTCAGTCATGTCTCCACAACCTCTTACCGTTCAAATATAGAATGACCACCATCATCTGATCTTTTTATACAGTATGTGTATAAACTCCCAAAGACGGTTGAGTCCCTATACGCAGATTATGTAAAGATCTAGCAAGAAATTATAGGAGAAGCAGGTGCATGAGCGCTTCAGGCAGACTTAAATATTGTGATTAACTGGTCTAAAAAGTGGCTGATGCCTAAACACGTGGAAAAATGTGTCTACATGCACTTTGGAGATACAGAGTTAAATATACAGCATGGGAGGAGTGCCTTTACCCGTGGTCCGGTCCCACAAGGGTTTTAAGACGACGGTGAGTCATGATATTAAGACCACTGCCTATTGTCGGAAAGTTGCAACTAAGGTGTTAGGAACCCTATAGGCTTTAAGACGGACATCCACCAATTTAGATACTACCATGTTCACTACAATATACACAACCTTAATGAGAACAAAGCTCTGGAACTGCGTTCAGGCTGCAAGTCCCCGCTTGAAATGTGACTCGGATATCCTGGAAAAAGTACAGAAGACAGCTACTCGTGCAATCCCAAAACTCCGGAGTTTGCCATACAAAGAGCGGCTTGAAAAGCTTGTAGATTATCAAATACAAAAAGTACGAATTCGAATTTGAATTGTCACAGTAGATCAGGTGCGTCTTAATGGCACAGCAAAATAACATCATTCTTGTATATACTGAAGGTTGCGCTGAACGTACGTTTGTGTATTACTAGTTTAACAGTTGGATATGTGAAAACAAACACATACGAAGACTATGGTGGAGTCCGTGGAAAATTCTAGAGGTCGTTTATACATTTTCCAAACCCGTATTGTATGTAAATAAACCGAAAACGGAATTAAAATGACTGTCGTGTAATAAGGAAGTCGAGTCATGATTTGCCGTGTGAGATAACAGCAAATACAAAGCGTATAGCAAACATTAGTAAAACCGGTAACCATCAATGTAACTAAAGTTTAGAAGGTCCAGAGAACGTGATCGACTCGTAAAAGGCTGATGCAAAGGGCTCATTATCTAGTGTTAAGTGATATATTACGTACGACGAAGTGTCTATTTACGACATGGACTGATATTGCTCGTGCACATGCAATAGGTTTTCCATCGTATGTCGACCTATGAGTAATAAATGCATATGATTTCGAATAAAACCTGACGGCAGTGACAGAATATATAACCATTCTACGTGAAAGAAACTACGAAATGTTATTATGCATCATAGACATAGTACGAAATAATACAAAGCAATTATGAAACTCGCATGGGTTACTCTTGCTCTCAAGTAATGAAAATTTGAAGCAAGCAGTAGTTCGGATCTGAATAATATACGAAATACATTTGATTAAATTCTTGGATTAACGCAGCATTCTGGGCTGAATTCGTATAAGTCAAAAATTAATTCAAGCGAAATACGAAGCATTGCCTGACGAACAGTCTAAACGAGATCTAAGACTGCAGGAAATTTATAGTTCAAACTCACTATAAATTTCTAGCATTCGCATCCTCTGTTTGGCCATGGAACTCAGCAATCAGAAATTATGCAGTTAGTGGTCAAGTAAGTAAAAAAAACTAGTAGATAGTTTCAGACGGAAGACAGTTGGTATTGATTAAGCGGAAAGATGAATCTATAATCGACAGTTAATGTTGTCTCGCTTATACCAGTGGATAAATTACAAACAGATGTGCCTACTGGTTATATAAGTTCAAGTACTAATCGACATTAATATCAAGCAACGGATGTTCACAGTAATTGGTTAACATAGGCGACGATAAAAATGAAAAAGAATATGTATACAGTGCAATAATAAAGATAATGATGATATGCTGAGTCACTCGAAGTCTTGCTCACCAGTGTGGATCACCAACCTAGATGATCTCCGTCGAACGATTGGGGGCCCACTCGAGTTGGACAGGAATGGTGTGACCAACAGCCAATGTCGAAGTCACACCTCGAGGTCAGCACTCAACGTGGATTACCTCTTCGTCGTATCAAGGTACTATGGATGCTTTGAAGATCGTAAAACACAAACGACGTTATTACAGAAATATATCATTTAAAGTAGGTACAAGCAAAAGTGTGACCACCAACGCATGGGCTAGTACGTGGCGTACGATTAACTGATGCGTGTTTGTTGTCCTTGACTTTGACAAGGATCTATGATCCGTTCGATATTCGGTGACTCAAATGATCTGGCTAGGGCTCAGTAGCTTTTACCTGGTCGTACGAGCTAGACCTATTTACTCTATCTTGTCGCAGATTATGAGGTGATCTGATTTTGACGTAATGGAATGATTTTGGACCTGATGTATACTCTCTTTTTCGAAACATCTCAGAGAACATAACGTGAGCATAAAAGCCAAGAACGAAGAAAATAGTCGCGGCATATAGGTTTTCAAACCGAGTCATCAATTCTTGGGACCTATTACACGAAGCAGTAGTGTCCGCACCATCAATTGACTCATTTAAGGGAAGACTAGACACTCACAGAAGCATACTGCAAAAGGAATAATATAGGTCATAGGCCTTCTGTCCTTAATACACAAATCTGAATCTGAAATCTCTTCAGGGTCGTGCAAAATGAACTGAGGTCATTTTGGTCCGTGACGGGCACCTGTCTTGTGCCTTGTTCAATCCTACATATCCAGATAAAAGTAGTTTAGCAGAAGTTTGTCCAGCTTCTGTTGTTTTTCAAGCGGTTTGATTATTCTTACATTTTAAATAGCATTTTGCTTAAGCGTTTTTAAGCTCTTTACCCACTATTAAATGGTTATTGTTTCGGGGCGTACGTCCATTCATCATTAAGTGACTGTACGGACCTAATCAGAACACGCAACGTTTGGCCAATTTAAGTAACGTCCCTAATTTTTATTGTATTTGTAACAATTAACTGTATATATTAATATTACTATTGATCTTTAGTAACTTTGTTTATACTTTCCGTCTGGTCCACCACAAAGATGGAATGTAATTTGTGAATGCAATCAGTGGTTACTCACTCATTTGGCCAAATAGCGTCTTGGCATTTTAGCTGATGTCAGTTCGTGATGAAAAACTGATTTAATTCCTAACCCTAACCATCAGCTATGAATCATAATCCTTATTCTTCAAACTGCTTTGTAACCCTCGTTCATCCCTAGCAATTAGGTAGACACTCTCAAGGTCACTTCGGCGTCGCTCAAAGGTCGTCCATGAATTATAGTCTCACCGCTTTACCGCATCTTATGTGTACAATATGTATACTTACAAGTGCCGTGGTACGGCAGAGCTTTGCCCACCCTAGGGTGTGGAGTGTCAACTCTTCCTCTTGAAATTCTCTCGCGTGGTCATGCGTATGCAGCCACTGTCTTTTCTCAGCGGGGGTGTTGTTTACGAAATTGAGGGGACAAAAAGCGAATCTCTGGAGCTTTACCCTGGTTGATAGATAGGGAGGACCCATCTAGAGGAGTTGGAAAACCCTGATTTCAAACCAATGGTTCACATGGGCTCCAGAATCCCGAGGGAAGAAATGGCGCATGAACCTATTGTTGGACACCGGTTACCATGGGACTGTATCTCCTTACGTTGCTCTACTGTCTTGTGGATTAAACCTCTAGGTCAAAGGCTCGGGTAGTGGCCTCCTAAGAAAACCAGTTGCCTCAGTTTGGGCACCCTGACCGTATCCAATTCTTCACACAAATCATTGATAACTACTACTGGCGCATTTGTTTCGTGTTTCCTTGTCAGTCAGCCAGCTACAACGTATGACTAGGCACATGTATGTATCAGTCCAAGTTGCCACACCTCATTAGCACAACAAGTGCCCCTTTGTACCAATGTTTAGGTGTTAAAATAAATAAATAAATATCGCATGCACTGAATTCTCTTCCTCCTGCTCTTCTTTCTTCCAGATTCTCAGAATCACACTTCCCTACACTCTCTCAGCAGCCACATTCCCCCGGCCTAATTACTAATCTACCAAAAACTGAATATCACTATGCGAAGTCCCCATGATAAGTTTTTCTATGATGTCTATAGTGTTATAAGTCAATGGGAGTTCATAATTCTTCGCATCCAGACAATACTTCTGTGGGAGCGTTTGGTCCCAAGTCTTGTTTTCACAGCATTCGTACACCTTGTGTTCTTGTGAGTTTTTAGTTACAAGTCATTATTTATAGATCATTTGTAAAAAGCAACTTCAGTACACTGTTTATTTCCTGTCTGGTGTTGTTTCTTGTCCTGTTATGCAACCTCTTACAACCGCTAATGGCAAGGCTTTTTCTAGGTACGTGTTTGCAAAATTTGTATGTTATGTATTTGATTTTTTTGGAATATATGGGGTTCTGAAATTGTTTACATAGTCAAAATCGTTCATATCTGTTACTGACTTAACTTCTCACTCTAGATGGAGTGGAAAGTTTGCTAGCGTAGCCCATATTTCGCTGAAGTTTGCCATTCTGCTGATGCTGTTCTCCATGTTAAATGTACTAGAATAAGCATTTTTCATTAGTAATGACTAACATTTTCCTAAGGAGTTTTGTAAGTTTTCGTTATCAACGGTTTCATTTGAATGGCTTTATGAGATCCCTGCCACATCTTGTATGTTTGCAAACAACTGTCCATCCAATTAAATCAGTGTACATTACTGAGAAGTTGCATTTTATTTATCTAGATGACTGAAAAATTTAAATTTCCTCATCGTATTTGATAATCTAGGAATTTACTGTTATTGCTTGTGGTTTGCATATACACTGTACGTTTTTGGAGGAATTATATATCTCATTTGTTCCTATCATAGGTCCAACCGATTTTCATGTGATAAACTCCTGCGTCACATCCGGTGATGTTTGATGGTACTAGGCTATTTCTTGGTCGACATAAAGATTTGCCAATGACATAGACCCTACGTTGCCCTTTTTTGCACATCTTACTATGGTGTTTACAAAAAGAGATGTGACTCAGCATTTATGCGGCAACTATTTCTTGACGACATTCGACAAAGTTCTACGATATTGGATTGGTTTAAGTTTTCACGCCTTTTCATAGTACGAAAAGGAATAAGTATACTTATTCCCCAAAGTTTACTATAGTGGCTTCCCCAAAATTGGGAGCTCGAGTAAAAATAAGAAGACAAACAATAGTGATATAAAGAAATAGCGTGTAATAAAATGTTCAAGATTTGAAAAACAGAAAGTGGATATATCTGTAGTTGTAAACGTTATCAACTTTTGTGATCGATGACCTATCAGTACCTAGATCATCCTGTTGACTAACAAGTCATCCTGAGGATTCTGGCAAACCCGTTGAAATTGCTCCATACACAACTCATTAATAACAAGCATATTCGTATACCAATACCATATCTTTTTCTAACTACGTCAATTTTGTTTTACTAGTTTAGTCCTATTCTAATCAGCATTGGATATAGGTGTAAAATGTCATACATACTTCACAAGTAACATGCCTGGTTTCTCCACCCAAATGTGACACAGCTCAATTAATTTGTTTAGGATAGCGATTTTGTGACTATTTAAGTATCAGGCGATAACTGTTAATTCACGTTTTAGACTTTTGTTGTGATTTCCAAACAACTTTTCAACTACAAATTCATCTATTCCTTTAAGAAGGCAATGAAGTATAAAAAATTCCCAATTCCTGCTTTAGATTCTAAGCGTTCATCTGGTTCGTTCTCAGAACTTGTTTCCATTTGTTTGGAAAATGGGAGCATCATGTCTACCACTGATCTTAGCCATTGGATATCTGGCTGTCTCTATGGTGCACTTAATATCGCAAATAAGCTTGCCCCATGTCATCGAAATCATCCTCTCTCGGTGAGCATTCCTAACTTTCATATTCTTTTGTTACCGATTAGATTTATAGTTTTTTTGGGGTATCCTACATCTCACTAATTCAGTTCTATCCTCAGCAAATTTTAAGTTAGCAGCTTGAATTAAAATACCCGACCGTTGTTGCTACCTTGACGTGGTGGCCGGGCTTGCCTATCGTGATGAAGCAACCGAGCTATACTGGCTGGAACAATCGTTACTTGAGGTCTTACCATGCCAGACTGTTCGGTTGAAGAGCGGTAAGGCTAAAAGCAGCAAACCCAAGGTCCGAAGGCAAAGTCGTACTGTACAGAGGTGTGATGGTTTTTCCTTCAGACAACCAGCATGACAGCGATGCTGCTTTCCCACAAGGAGGGGTGGGGTTAGAAAAGGTCTAACCTAAAAATGCACACCTCGCCTTATCCCGTGGATATCCGTCTCCGGCAGTAAGGTCTCAACAAGTACGGAGCTGACACGAAAATTACCCATAAAAAGGTCGTGCGGTCACGCTCTCAGGTCACTAAGACCACCCTTAATCCAATCTCCTTTTCAGGTACCTCCAGAACAACCCTTCCACGGTGTGGGCAACCGGGAAGTGATAACCGCCCTCATACCTATAATAGCACTCATGACCACTGTACTCATAATCAACCTCTCTCTTCAGTTCCTACTGTTCCTCCTATAACGACCTTCAACACTAAACTTCCTCTTTTGGCTTCCTTTTCAAGTTCTGAACTAAAATTATAACAAAAGTTTAGCATAGTGGTAGTTTCTCGTGATATCATTTCGAGTTTTATCATTAAATTCTAAGTTAAATTATACTCATTTCATCCAATAACTCAAAAACTGATGAAATAAAAACTATTCTAGTCAACTTAGAGTACGTCGACTTTACCCTAAGTTTCTTCCTTTGTGGCAATACACTGTTCTCATCATGTTTTCATTGTCTGAGATACCTCTAAAAGTTCTTAGAAAGCAAGCTCCTTATGCATAACCATTTCACATTACGGGAGCAAAAGTAAATCACAGGGAGCTGTCTTAACAACCCGACTTTCTTATTTTTTTGACAAACGATTTAATATTTTTGAACTAATTCTATGTGAGTAGTCAGGAAATACTGACTATTAATTAATGGAAGCATTAAATTCCTTTCTTGTCATATTTTTGATTGTGCTACTTTTAGTTATACATATATCATCAATAAAGGGTGGTTCTGATACAGTTTATACTGTCAATAAATGTCTCAATTTTCCAACATTTTACAGAATAGAAGGTTGCACATCCCGAACACTACTATAATGTGTATTTCCGTAATTTGTATTGGCATGTTTATTTCTCTTAACCATACATTTCCATTTCTAATAACTTGTTTGGAGTTAAAAAATTTTGCACGACCATGCATTCATTATCCGTTAATTAAGGTAACCCTGTTTCGGTTTGGGCACCCGGGCAGTATCCCAGCCCTTACACAAATCGAATGGTTTATATGGCACATATCTATTTGGTGCCTCCATGTACCAATGTTTATGTGTTTAAATAAATAAAGGTAACATTTCACGAATCTTCTCTACACAAAGAGCTTTACTAACTTGGCCGACAATAAAATCGAAAATAGAAAAGAGTAATTTCAACTTTGTAGTCTCACCTACTTAGAGTGCTTCATCATACTTAAGAGATAAATCAATGAGATTTTTGCATGGTTATGAAAAACATGATTTTTTTAATCAGTGTGTGTATCATATGTCGTTGATGGTCATATCCGCAATTCAACCGTTCATCAGTCCTACAGTTTGGCTCTACCTAATCTATTAAAAATCTGTTCTTCAAGTCTGAATAATAAAATGATGACTAAAGCAATCAGCATCCAACCAATAAGTCACAAGTTCAAACTCCAACCCACTTACTGCGGTTTGGTCGGCTGTCATTACTTGATTATACACTAAGAACATGACTTGGAACTGGGTGTTTGATGAGCTACTGTTTGTTATACCACAGATCTGGGATCATTAATCTCAGGAGATGATTAATTCATATTTCGTTCGTAACAATTTGTTACTCTCATCGATAGAAAATCTTGATAAATAGTAAAATAGCATCAAACCATAATTCCTTTAGTATCAATTAAGAGACTTAAAGTTTTAAGTTATCTACTCAAAATTGTTGAAATGGAAAGATTCATTGACTTGAGCTTCAGCTTTTAGATTAGGTATATCTAAAGCTATGGTTTTCGAACTGCTGATAGCATCCTATTGTTTAACACATCCATTTTCCAGTATATTGGTGTGTTATTCAATTAATGCTGATGAATAATTATATACTTTCCTTAATATTCTTTTAGTTTTTCATTATTTCAAGCACTATTAGCATTGGATGCATCGTACTTAGCATGTATGTTTCCGGCGTAACCTTAGCTTACATAGCTCTCAATATTTGTCTAATTTTGCCAACTTTGCTGCACCATCGTGTAATTTCTCGTGTTTGGAATTTGATTAAACCTATTTTAACGCGTATTGAAGCAGAATTCGATAAAAATCCGTTAGAATCTCCTGAAGAACGCAATGCCGGTGAACGAGAACTTTACGAGCCTATTGTTGCAGCTGCAAATGCTGCTAATTCCTCCGTATTCCCTGATGGATTTTTAACAGACATACCCACGAAAGTGGAATCTAGTCAGCTCGAATCAGAAGAACTAGATAACTCGGAAGCAGTATTCATCAAACAGTTTGGTAGGTAAACCTATAGTGAATTTAATGCTTTCGAGTTAATGTGGATTGCGTACTTTTTGTTAAGTTGTTAAGATTAAATTCATATTGAAATAATCAAGAGCAGTATACATTACTCAATGTCTGAGGTAAATACCATATAATTCTCGAAACCTTATCAGTTAAATTCTAAACAAACAATTATACCGATATATCCGTTTTTCGATGTTGAATCAGACATTCAACAAAGGTTTCGAATTACTGGACCTAACAATTATTTGCCACTTGGAAAGTGATTAGAAATGTGTTGGTCGTATACTTATTATATTTCTGTACTTTCAAGATCTAGGACGGAAATATGGCTTATATTAGCCGCATGCTTCTATCTAAAATGATGACTGCTGAAATACATTGTGTTCTTTAAGGTAATATGGGCGAGTTAGTCAGCTTGCCATAATCTATTTTTAACTGATTGTTGGGTGTACAGCACTTTTACTAGGTATATGATCTTTAATAACACTATATCCCCAGCATTCCTAATACATCTGTACAAAGCATAGGTCCGTTATCAAATAAATTAATTAAAACACTTCTTCCGACCACTAATTTTTAGGTTTAAGTCCGTACTCACCTAATCCGTCACAAAGACCAGCACAAAAAATCTATACATAGTAAGATACAATATCACCAAATCATTCTCACAATAATGGCTCAATGGTGTTAGACCGTAAGTTCAGAGGACTAGAGATTCTGGTGATCGTTGTGATTTGAGATTCATCACTAATTCTAGTTGAAACATGAGAACCATTTCATTTGAACCACCTATATTTGAAATTATAATTATGTTTGGTTTTTCGTTTATATTTGACTCCTAGTATTTTTGGATCTAGTCCATCAATAAAAATATGTGTTCGACTTAAAATTGCACTTTTTCACGAAGCTCAGTGGCACTGTGTGACCGTTCAAATTTAATTAATTGGGACAAGGTTTGAACTAACTACAGAATGATAAAATGCCTTAACCACTATGCCTAATCTTAATGACTGGTATTTATTGGTATCTTAAAAATACTCCAGTCTACTTTAACTTAGTTAATCAAAAGTTAGTCACAGTCAGTAGTAGCCTTAGTGGTTTCTTTCTAATCCTGTGTTTGTTTTATGTCAACTACACAAATTCGACTTTATGACTAAATAAATAATATCCATATAGTATTATTGATAGAGCTTATGGAATCCTGATTGAAATTTTATGGACCTGTAGTCTAACGGTTAAGGTGTTCGATCTCTATTACATAAACTGTGGCTCAAAGCCGACTACATCAATTTGCATTTACTTATCTACTTAATAAATTACGCATGTTATCCCTCGTGAAGAAGCATAGGCCATCCACCAGCATTCTGCATCCAACTCGGTCCTGATCAATCCTTTCCGGTTACTATCCTTCCTTTTCATATCTGCTTCCGATTCTCGAAACAGTATGTCTTTTAGTCTTCCAATTTTCCGTTCCCCTTCAGGATTCCGAGTTAAAACTTGCTTCGTGATACAGTTTGATGATTTCCTCAATGTGTATCCTACCCACTTCCAGCACCTTTTCCTAATTTCCTCTTCAGATGGAAGCTGGTTTGTTCTTTCTCATAGTAGGCTGTTGCTCATGGTATCTGGTCAACGGACATTGAATATCTGATGTAGATGATTGTTCATAAATACCTGTACCTTTTTGATGATAGTCGTGGTAGTTCTCCAAGTTTCAGCTCCGTACAACATAACTGTCCTGACGTTCGTATTGAAGATTGTGACTTTGATATTGGTTGACAGACAGTTGTTTGGAGTTCCATGTGTTCTTCAATTGTAGGAATGCGACTCTTGCTTTGTCAATCCTCGCCTTTCCGTCTGCATCGAATTCTCCTCATTCATGAATGATGCTTCCCAGATGCGTGGAAGTTTCCACCTCTTCCAGAGCTTCTCCATCAAGTGTGATTTGGTCGTATTGTATTTGAGGATCTTGCTTTTTCCGTTGTGTATGTTGATGCCTACTGAGGCAGAGGCTGCTGCAACACTGCTTGTCTTAACCTGCATTTGCTGATGTGTATGGGATAGAAGGAGTAGATCCGAGTCGTATAGTTGCATCCAAGCTCTATCGATTGTATTCCGTGCTTCTCCTCAGATGTCGAGGTCGTCATAATCCAGTCAACCATCGCCTGTAGCGCTCCTCGGGTTACTGCCGGTCCCAATACAACGAAAACAAACAGAGTGATTTACTTGAGAAATAAATGGTACAATCAGTGTGGTAATTTTGCCTACAAATTGTTATACAAAAATAATTAACGAGAGAGCATTTCTTCCTGAGTGTCATGTTCATCAAATAACAGTCAGATATTGCATAATCCAGTCGAACACCAGAAGAAAGAGAGAGGGGGAGAGTAAGCAGTCATGTTTAATTCCGTTCCTCACCTGGGATGCGTCTGTCAGTTGTTCTCCACCCACGAATTTGCACTTTAATCCGTCGTATGAATTCCGGATTGTGTTGATGAAGAAGTTTCAATAAGGTTCACCTATCCACACTGTCAAACGCCTTCTCATAGTCTATGAAGTTGTTTTATAGTGACTAGTCCCACTCAACTGATTGTTTAACGATGTTCCGTAGCGTCGCAATTTAGGATGTGCACGATCGATACTTACGGAATCCAGCCTTTTAATCTCGCAGTTGGGCGTCTACTGAGTCTTTCATTTGGTTCAGCAACACTTTATTGAAAACGTTTCCTGGTACCGATAGTAATGTGGTTCCTGTGTAGCTCTCACATTTGCTCAGATCTTTCTTTGGTATATTGGTCAGGTGTCCTTCTTTCCAGTCCATCGGCACTTGTTCTTCCTTCCCAATCTTCCGGAATAGAACGTATTTGACTGGTCCTTCCAGTGTCCCACATTGTCCGGAAGTCCCATGTTCCTACAAAAATTGTTGCTCTGGTTGTTAGAAGGTGCATTGGCATCGTGACTTCTGAAGAATCTGGGCTTTCATCCTGAAGCGTCATGATTCTTTCTTCAAGTTCCGGGACAGTTTAAATGGTTTAGTTCGTTTGGTAAATTAATAACGTGAAATAATCAGAAGAAATTAAAAACCAAATTTTCTTTTCCCCTAACTTCACAATGTTACTTATACAATGATTTTCTCTGCTTTTTTCTTAAGTTTCCGATATTAGTTCCGAGGAATTGGATCGTTTGTTTTCTGAAGCTCTTGGTGAGCATGAAATTGCAACAAAAAACACTACTAGACATAGCAAATCCCATAATAATCATAATAATAATGATAATTTCTCAGAATTTACTGACACAGATTATCCATTTATAACTCAACAAGAAATAGTTGAAAAATCACGTTCACCACCAATTTTGTGGGCAATGGAAAGTGAGTATGCTACAGATGATGATGAAAGCAGCGATATCATGGGTGAGGTAATTTCACATTAGATATTATTTAAGAAGTGATAAAAATGTTTCATTTTACAAATCGTTATTTAAACAAGATAATAATGTTATTTTAATCCCATCTTTTTGGTGGAGTTTTGTTCTCTGAGCTGGATGGTTTGGTCGTGGAGCTTTCATCGTTCTTCTGAACGACATCGTCTACACAAATTTCAAGTAGAAGTCTTCAGGTAAATCTGAAGTTTTTGCTAATGATGTCGTTGAGAACTATGAAAGCTCCACGATCAAACCATCCAGCTCAGAGAACAAAACTCCATCAAAATCATCCACCTGAGCTACAAATCTTTACCATTTCAATATTTGTTTCTCTTAACTTTAGTTGTATCTTGTTTGGAGAGTTTTGAATTATCCAATTTACTGATATTCAAGACTAGATTTTAATATGTCTTTGCTGAAATATATACATCGTAAATGGATCGTTTCGATGTAGACATTTTGTCACAAGTCGATATACAATACTAGAATATAGGTACATTTAGCAGACAAGTCTCAAATGTAGTGAATTCATCCAACTTCGTATGCTGTATGTACACACTGAATTAGATAAGCAAATAAAATATTTCACTAATATCCGTTGTTGTTGCTTTATAAAGTTTATCAAGAATACTGACTACATGAAACATCTTCGTCTAGTTACATTTTATTTAAGTTACTTTAAATTAGTATCTTCACTAGTCTGCGATTATCAATGTCATGTTTTAAAAATTGACAAGCGCTCAGACTTATGCGACTCCGTCAGTATAAAATATCCTGAGTGTTACGAATAATCAACTAGACACCTTTCTTGATTATATTGTGATAACATGTGTGCAAACAGCAGCCTTTTTGCAGACACAAATATGGAACACAATATGGAACAGGTCACTTTCGATTTAAAATATACATCTTTTTAACCTTGTACATGGCCTCAAAAACGTTGATATTGGTATGCAGAAGAAGTTGAGTGTGTGGCTCAAACGCTCGGATCGATTCTTCCTCCTTCAGCGACAGGGATTTTCCTGTTGAATGGCATTGAGGCACAAATGGGATGTAGAAATGATATTAGTGTACACCTGATACATTTTTACCACCCAACATTTTTTGTGTACATTAATTGCAGAAATAGGTGAAACTTATTGGTTGGCACATCCTGAAGAAATCATGTCCACATGATGTAGTTAGCTTATTCGCTGCAGATCGTTGCTTATAATGTGAACTCTGCACAAAATATGATGAGCTACTGGGAAGTCGGTAGATAAGTCATCGTGCGTGGGAAGGCTGTCATCGCTGATAAAACATTCGACTGATAACTCGGACAAAACAGTATCGTGCAAAAATGATGAAAACTTCCCATTTACATCAGGTATTTGCTTGGTTACGAATTCTTAGCCTGCCAGTATAGGCATTCATTGTCATTAACTGGTAGAATTGCGTTCTTTCCTTATTATGTATCCAAGTATCTTCAATTCCTGTAATGTCCGTAAAATGTTAAGGCACGTTCTGATCTCGTGGTAAAAAGAAATAATAATCTAGTTGACCGTCTACGTCACGCTGCGTCTGTGCTTCGCCTCTGACCTAGACGATATGTGCTGTAAATGTTCCAAAACTACTTATTAGGTAAATTTAGTGATAACAGTTAAACATGCATGCAAGTTTTGATTGTTTAAATACGGTGCAACGCATATTAGAAATATCTTGTGCAATTATTCTCCTCTCGTAGGCTTCATAAACGAAGTAAATTACGGCAAAGGTCTTAGCTTCAGACAATAATAAAGGGCAAATAATTTTAGTTTGATCTTCCTTCAAACGATAATGAAATCACGGGAATTTTCATTCCCATAAACTGTTCGTTGTGTGACAAACTGCTTTTTTTTGTTGGAAATCCAACTCTACCAATCATCTAAAAAAATATTCTCAATTTCGCTGTTTAAAATAGACATGTAAGATGACATGACTTGCGGTAACAAGAATTCTAAATTGGTATTTCATTGAAACTTATTGTTTTTATTCATCCGGAAGTAGGTTCTCCATTAGACGTTCGAAAACACGTTTTTGATTGACTGACCAAAGGCTAAAGAGCGATAGGGTATGCCAAAACATAATTTCACATATTTAGAACTTTCATTTCAGTGAACTGGGGATTGTTCTGATTTATTTATAAAAGATGTCTATTAAGAAAAGTAATACCTCACTGGAAATAATTCTGATATGTTCCTTCTATTTGTACTGATTACTGCAGTACATTTTTTTATTTTATTTGGATCATTACAGGTTTCCTTGTTATCTAAGCTTATTTGATTTACATTAAATGTTAAAGTCATTATATAACACTTATTGAAATATATATATATATATACATTAAGCGGTTGATTCTCAGTCATAAAATAATGAGTTTCCAGTAGAGTTTGTAACAGCGAATTAGTTAGTTGTGACTAACATCAACCCATTTCGGTAAATCACATCACTACGTCTAGATGAAATTAATTTATTGAGTATCAAATGAGAATAACACATAAAGAAGAACAGCATTGTTTTGAGTTAGATCCTGATTATACTTTACTCTTATATACAGCAATATTTGAATGTATATATGAAGATATTAAAACAATCAAGATTGATTGTTCCTTTACAATTTTTCGTTATTTACGATGTTTGCTTTGTATAACAATGAAACCTTGCAAATGAAACAATTTTTAAAAGTTCTACTCTTTCTTTCTCAACATTCAGGTTTGCCCAGCTCCGATGACAATGATGAATAAAGATGTTGAACGTGAAGGATTTGTATTTGTACGAAAACAAAAATAAAAACAAACTAAATTGATAATGACTTCATTCGTTTGATTTTTCTTCCCCTCATTATTCCCTACCTGTATACACCACTCTACTTCCCATTTATAAATAAATACCCCCCCCTCTCAATATGTATTTACTTTAAAAAAGGACAATTATTTATTCGACCAAGTTTTATTGCATACTTATTATTATTATTATTAATGGCTGTTAAAGTAATCGAAAAAGAAGATAAACTGTTGAAGTATATAAATGGTAGAAAGAACATAGTAACTCAGGTATTCAAGTAGACCGCTGTAAATTTAGTTATTATCTCTGGGTTGAATGTATCTGAAATCCTACTTTCCCTGTTTCTTTCTACAGATTTTAATTGACTTGCATAGTTTTATGTAATAAAATGCATTTATATTGAAACATTGACACTTTTAAAAAAAAGGGAAAATAGGGAGCATTTCTATATTTATTCTTGCAACCTAGTGGGTAATTTTTAAACGTGAGATTTAGTGGAAATTAGCTTTGTTTTTTTTCGTGATTGACACCAGCTAAGGTATGTGATGGGATACCAATCCTGAAAAAAAACGTATTGATTGGCAATATACAAGTTTAAGTGATCTATTTAAACTGATCTCTTATAAATCTTAATATAACGGAAATAATCTCAGCGACATAATATGAGCTCTTCTGTCAGTTGAGACTGATTTACGGATGACCTTTGTGCGACGCTGAACCGACCTTGAGGAAATTCATCTTACTACTAGGATTAAATATTGATTGTAAATTAGTTTGATGAGTCGGGATTAGGATTTACAGTTGGGCGCTAAGGTTTTTATCGCGAACTGACATCGGCTATAATTTCAAGTGCTATTTAGCTATGTAGATGAAACGATCCCATGCCCAAATCCAATACATGCTGCCCTAAATCCGATCAATTCGTCCATAAATTATCGTCTACACACATTTAAACTACTTATTAGTAGGTAAAACATAACAGCGAAATTTGTTGCTAATGTGTCTGAATTGAATGAATTCGTTCTTCAATTCTCTTTTCTTTATGAACCGCGTATGGATTTGATATTGATGATGAAGGACTTGACATACATGACATTGGTCACCACCCAGTGATCAATCAATTGTAATTACATCTCGGTCCCACAAGAGGTCGGTCGCGGCACGGATAGCCCAGTGGTAACGTCTCTGACTGTGAAGCTGAGTGACACGGCATCGAATCCGTCAGGGAGCACCAGTCCCCTCAAGATTACAGGTACACCTTGCTGATGAGTGCCAAGTAGCACGAAACCCGGGTCCATGGTTTCCTGTTGACTACCTCCAACCACCATCTAGAGTATCAGCGATTTTTATGCAGAGAGGGATGAAATGTACATCATGAAAATGAGAAGTCACAAGTCATTTGTAAATCTCTGTTACTTCTTCAACTTCAAGTTAATAAAAAAAGTTTGCCCGAAGTTACTTAATAGATAAAAATCAGGTTTTTAGGTGGATACGGGTGATTTCAGCCGTATGTAGACTTACTAATAAACCATACGGAATACAAGAAGTCGTTCAAAAGATTTTATTCAATTTACCCTGATTTTCTGCGTTTATCAATTTGATAAGTACGAAGTTTTTATTTGTCCTTTATCTGAACCTAAAGAAGTTGGTACTCAGCTGTGGATGTACCTAATTATGCTTCTCTGAAACAATTGGATTGTTAGGTGCACATAGAAGAGGTAAATGCAAGCACACTCTCTGTTATTTCTTACCTTTAGGAGAGAGCCATATTTAAATAAAATATATGACTCTACTGAAGTAAATGTTCGAGCAATACCTTGAGGCCAAAGATGATCAAATGCTTCCAACTTACACATAGCTTCTACCTTCATAATTATTAATAAATAATTGAAAGGATTTCTGTGTAGGATACCTGCACGTTTATTGACAGACGAATATCTCATTTATATAACAAGTGTAGAAAGTTGCTAAAAACTACTTGATCTGTCTCTAATAAGCACATAATAAGAGATTCATGACAAAGCATTTATACTTACTTCATATATAGCTAATGATGGTAGACTACCACACAATCAATATGAAATAACTATTTTGTGTAAATAAATCAGTCTGTTAGTTGATATTACTCATTTTTATCAATGTTTATTCCTTGAATTCAATTGATTACACTATGTGATTGAATTTACAGTTTCATAATATTCTAATTCAATTGAGGATTTGAAAATAATTCGGAATCTATGTGAAGAATATCAGCACAATGGTTTAGGGAAAGAAATATTGAGATGAAATGTTGCTTTAGTGTTGGTAATTATCAAAACTATATTTTCGCTATTTTTTTTATACACTTTCAGAAAGCATATTTTCGATGATTTCTTATAAGACTGAGTGAACACCAACTCTGAGATGCAGGTACATCCAGCTGACGAGTCTCGAATAGGATGAACGGGCGTCCTGGATTCAACTGACAACCACTATCTATCTTTGCATATAATGCTTGTGAATTAAGATTATATCGAGGCAGTATGCACATATGCCAATAAGAGACTGATCAATTACAGTTCTAAACATCAATGGGAAGATTCAAGTAAACAATACCTAGTGAATTTAAACTTCACCCCATTGCACAAGCAGGTAGCTATCAGAATTCAGTAGCTAAGTGGATAACACGATGGCGTTTGAAGCGAGTGCTACAAGGTTTGAGTCTCAGAGTAAACATGAACTCTGAGATGCAGGTACATCCATCTGACGAGTCTCAAATAGGACGAAACGCGCATCCTAGATCCCACTGGTAATCACTATCCATCTTTACTTATAAAGCTTATGACTTATAGTGATAGATATCTCATAAACTGAGAAGAAATTTCTTTCTATTCATTAACGTTATTTTTATTTGTAAACAGTTAAGAAAGTTTTGTGTACTTATTTTCATTGAACAACAATGAACTAAACGCCTATTACTATTTTTTAATTATTCTAAGTAAATATGTTAGTTGTTTCATGTTTTGTAAATATTATCATGTTATAACTTGTTTCACAATGTAGTATAATACCAGAAAGCGGTTTTGTAGATATTATAGTAATTTAATAGTTGAGATCATGAGTATGAGTCCTTAGGGGCTGTAGCATGGATGCGCACTGCCGAGGAGTCCCGCAATAGGATGAAACGGCAGTCCAGTGCTTCCAAGTTTTCCATGGTGGTCCAGTTTCAATTGACTCATGATCTCAACTATTAAATGTAATATAATATAAATAATGGTTAGTGTCAAACATTTCAATAATCTAACAAAAATAATCTTACCACAATTCTTTATTATTAAACATAAATAACACAATCTCAATTACAAATGAATTGTGACAAATAAGTGAACGGGAATCCATAACAAACTATTCACTTAATCCAAAATTATGAGGAATAATAGAAAACTGATACGATCTCCAACGATTAAGCTTAACAGTCAGGTCTTAATTTATTGGAGAATGAGTGACCTACAAGTCAATTTGCCTTAATCGCTTAAGGCATTTCATAATGTTTATTTTATATTGATATTTTGTATATAAGCATGTTGTTTTACCATATGAATACTATTTTTCTGGCTAGTGGTCTTCTCCCTGACATTTTATCATTTACGGGCTTAAGCCATTAATATGGTCTTATTGTGGTGAGTGCTACTTATATTGCTATAAGTAGTATATGACGCGAGTTAAAACGTAATGTCTGGCAGCAGAAGATGAGGGGAAGATCAAGAAAGGAAGAGCGAGAACACAATGGAATTTGTAAGAAAACGAATGAACAATGGATTGGTGTTTGCAACAGGAACAGTCCAGTTTGATATGATGCATTGACGATTTATTATATGGTTTTCAGATTTTACTGAGGTAGTCTGTAATTCTTGTGCTAAATACATTCGATTGTCCCCACCCGTGTTCTGTTCACTACAATATGAGTAACCATCATTCGGACACATTATATTATTGAGTTCCATCTTCCGATTAGCATTCTATTAATTAATCTTAATAATCAAAAATTTCGTTCAATCAAATCAAACTTAATTATAAAGGATCTGTAATAAAATCGGTTTCGCAGAGAAAAGTAAGTTCGCTTCACTTTCAAAAGTATTGTCTTTATTTATTTGAACACATAAATATTAATACAAAGGGGCACCGAATACATATGCGCCACACAATTCACTTCGTTCGTCTGTGGGCTGGGATACTGTAGGGCCAGCAAAATGTCACTAAGCCCTAGCCAAATCATCCGGCAGTTAGGTCATTGAATATCGAACAAATCATCGATCCTCGTCAAGTTCAAGGACAACCAACATGTATCAGTTAATCGTATGCCACGGACTGGCCCATGCGGCAGTGGTCTTGCTTTCGCTTGTATCTACTTTAACTAATATATTTCTCAAGTTGAAATCATGAGTCAGTTGAAGCTAGATCACCATTGAAAACCTGGAAGCACTGGACGGCCGTTTCGTCCTAGTATGGGACTCCTCAGCAGTACGCATCCACGATCCCGCACCACGCGGGGCTCGAACCTAGGACCTACTGGCTTCGCGCGCGAGCACTTAACCATTAGACCACTGAGCCGGCATCCAACGGTGTTAATGTCTAACTTCAACCAATCCACGAAGTTGCGACATCGAACACCAATGTCTTCAGTGAGCTGATATCTCACAACAGACCTGGTTGAACTCCACTGGTGACGGCTTCTCACTAGAACTCCAGAAGGTTCTCCTGAAGTCAGTCACTAGTGAGCAGATGATTATTATCAGAATGAGTTTTGTGGAGATTTTAGTAAATTTCACAAGTTGAAATCATGAGTCAGTTGAAGCTAGACCACCATCATCTGCTCACTAGTGACTGACTTCAGGAGAACCTTCTGGAGTTCTAGTGAGAAGCCGTCACCAGTGGAGTTCAACCAGGTCTGTTGTGAGATATCAGCTCACTGAAGACATTGGTGTTCGATGTCGCAACTTCGTGGATTGGTTGAAGTTAGACATTAACACCGTTGGATGCCGGCTCAGTGGTCTAATGGTTAAGTGCTCGCGCGCGAAGCCAGTAGGTCCTAGGTTCGAGCCCCGCGTGGTGCGGGATCGTGGATGCGTACTGCCGAGGAGTCCCATACTAGGACGAAACGGCCGTCCAGTGCTTCCAGGTTTTCAATGGTGGTCTAGCTTCAACTGACTCATGATTTCAACTTGTGAAATTTACTAAAATTTCCACAAAACTCATTCTGATAATATATTTCTGTAATAACGTCCTCTGTGTTGTACAGTCAACTCCGCCTGTAGCTCTTATAGGGTTGCTGCCGGTCCCAAGCCCGGGTAAAGGAGGAGGGTTGGGCATGGGGTTAGCGTCCCCATCCCGTAGAAAACTAACTCGCTAAAAAAACGCTTACCAGAAAAAATAATTCAA